GTGGCAGCATCAGAGGAGGCTTTTAGGACCACATGAAGATGGCTCTGTATAACTGAGAAATGACTAACCAGGTGTGTTTGGATCATCCACATCATCACAGCCTGAATTCTCTCTTATTTTCTTCTGTATTCAACCCATTTAATATCCATTCCACTCTTATATGGATTGACAGCACTAACCTCTCACTCGCTTCTAAACATGGATTTTTTTTCTCTTTAGTGGTAATATTACAGGCTTGGTGATCACCAGATGCATCTCAGGTTACGTTTTAACTCCTAAAGTTCAACAAGGTATTTTCTTATTACATCTAATTTAGTTCGTTTTATTGCTCCACTATTGTGAAATCCTGGTTTTACTGCAGGAGAAGATCAGTCACGCCTGATATCTCTGGCTACACCAGACAAGTTTCAACTTCACTGCATAAAAATGTAGGGATGCAGACTGCTTTGAAAAGAAAAAACGCAATTAAAATCAGCTTATAATGCCAAGGTTAAACAAGGATTTAAAACTTGCTGAAAAATGTCCCATTAGAACATAACTTTGTTTTAAAGCCGGTCTAGGAAATACTAGAGTACTATTATTCCGCTGGAGCGACGACTATTTGACTGTAAGGTGGGTTGTCAAAAATATCAATACTGCAAAAGGTGTTCATACCAATTTGGCATGGTATCATTGCTAAAAAAAAAAAAAAGAAATGTTGCTTGCATATTTTTTCTATTTATAGATTTTAGATTATTTTCACATTAAATGTAAATTATTTCTACCTAAAAATACTGTTGATTTGTTTTATATTTGGGTTATTTATTTTGCATGTATTTGCACAATTACTTAAATAATAGAATCTGTGATTCAGTTGAGAAAGAATGTTTCATTTTAAAATTGCATGTTAATATATGTTTTTATGCCCTTACTTATTTTGGCTTTTTTTTGTTATATAATATTAAAAATCGAGGGTATCAAAATCAAGTTTGGAATTATAGCATCATGATAACCTCTATTCTAAGGGAATATTACTAAAAGATTATAGTAATCACTGTGTTGTATTTTTCTAGAGGCAATGAGAATAACTCTTACCGTTAAGTGTAAAATTAAAGAAATTTGATTATCTGCTACATTTTTTTTTTAGATTGGTAATAAAGTGATAATATAATAACTAAACCTCTCAACAAAAAGCTGAGAGGAACGCTATGTTTACTTTATCATACAATAAGAATCTCATATTCCCCCACGGCTAACTTAAACTGCTTGTTTGTAAAGGATTACCAGGGAAGAAATTATTTTAAAGTACCTAGAAACCCCTAGAAATCCCTTCGATCTCTTTAGTAAATTGACATCTTATTGCTTTTTAAATAAAGTATAATTTTCCAGAAGTGCTCAGAGCCCTCCATATTACCCACAGTTCCCAGTATTGACTGGATGACTCATAAAACCCCCATCACTGACTAATGGAAAGGTATTCTGAAAATTTGCTGCAATGCAATCTGTTTTGTTTTATCCTAACCTCCACGGCAGAACCAATTACAGGCAGAGCTAATCAGCATCCCACATCCTATCACTCACTACCCCCACTTTGCATGTGTCTGGCTCCATTTCAGCCTGCACACAGCAGGGATTTTATTTAATCAGCTAGTTGCAACAGTTGGGAGGCTGTGTCTAAGCCTCGGGTGAGCATGAAGCCGGGGTAAGAGACCTCTACGGCTCTTCGTTTCAGAAGAGCTTGCTCTTTTTGGATTACTGTCAGACGCATTACACTGGAGTCTAATGTAACCCGCATCCATGAAGGCTGGCTGCTCCACCTCTGTCCATTGATTTGACTGGCAGGAAGAAAACAACTGGATTACATAATTCATGTGACTGCTCCCATTTGTAGATTTGCTTGACTCTGAAAGGGCCAAAACAACCGAGTGATAATGGAGCACAAGCATGTCCTGTCATGATAGACTGTAACTGGTTGGATGACTCCACCCTTTAGTTATTAAAACACCAAAATAGCGTTCACAGTACCTCCTTTGCTTGCAAATGTAACAGTTTGTCCTAAAGCATGTCTAGTACGGCACGCAAGAGGAAAATAACAGAACCAGGGCACTGAAAAAATGTTTGCACTGATAACTCTGGGACATAAATAGAAAATTGTCCCATTATTTTTCTTTAACAGAAGTTGAATTAAATTCCTAAAATAAATCAACAATTCTAATATTATGTGTTGATTTGCTCAGTCTAAGTTCTCATAACTACTTACAATTTTTTTATACCTCATTAGCCATAGCTCTTTATGTATTTAAAGTTGAAGCATCCCCACAGCATGATTTTTCCAATACCGTGCTTGNGTATCAAAATCAAGTTTGGAATTATAGCATCATGATAACCTCTATTCTAAGGGAATATTACTAAAAGATTATAGTAATCACTGTGTTGTATTTTTCTAGAGGCAATGAGAATAACTCTTACCGTTAAGTGTAAAATTAAAGAAATTTGATTATCTGCTACATTTTTTTTTTAGATTGGTAATAAAGTGATAATATAATAACTAAACCTCTCAACAAAAAGCTGAGAGGAACGCTATGTTTACTTTATCATACAATAAGAATCTCATATTCCCCCACGGCTAACTTAAACTGCTTGTTTGTAAAGGATTACCAGGGAAGAAATTATTTTAAAGTACCTAGAAACCCCTAGAAATCCCTTCGATCTCTTTAGTAAATTGACATCTTATTGCTTTTTAAATAAAGTATAATTTTCCAGAAGTGCTCAGAGCCCTCCATATTACCCACAGTTCCCAGTATTGACTGGATGACTCATAAAACCCCCATCACTGACTAATGGAAAGGTATTCTGAAAATTTGCTGCAATGCAATCTGTTTTGTTTTATCCTAACCTCCACGGCAGAACCAATTACAGGCAGAGCTAATCAGCATCCCACATCCTATCACTCACTACCCCCACTTTGCATGTGTCTGGCTCCATTTCAGCCTGCACACAGCAGGGATTTTATTTAATCAGCTAGTTGCAACAGTTGGGAGGCTGTGTCTAAGCCTCGGGTGAGCATGAAGCCGGGGTAAGAGACCTCTACGGCTCTTCGTTTTAAAAGAGCTTGCTCTTTTTGGATTACTGTCAGACGCATTACACTGGAGTCTAATGTAACCCGCATCCATGAAGGCTGGCTGCTCCACCTCTGTCCATTGATTTGACTGGCAGGAAGAAAACAACTGGATTACATAATTCATGTGACTGCTCCCATTTGTAGATTTGCTTGACTCTGAAAGGGCCAAAACAACCGAGTGATAATGGAGCACAAGCATGTCCTGTCATGATAGACTGTAACTGGTTGGATGACTCCACCCTTTAGTTATTAAAACACCAAAATAGCGTTCACAGTACCTCCTTTGCTTGCAAATGTAACAGTTTGTCCTAAAGCATGTCTAGTACGGCACGCAAGAGGAAAATAACAGAACCAGGGCACTGAAAAAATGTTTGCACTGATAACTCTGGGACATAAATAGAAAATTGTCCCATTATTTTTCTTTAACAGAAGTTGAATTAAATTCCTAAAATAAATCAACAATTCTAATATTATGTGTTGATTTGCTCAGTCTAGGTTCTCATAACTACTGACAATTTTTTTTATACCTCATTAGCCATAGCTCTTTATGTATTTAAAGTTGAAGCATCCCCACAGCATGATTTTTCCAATACCGTGCTTGACAGTGGGGGTGATGTATTCTAGTTGTTCGGGGGTTTCTGTTTTGCAACTCTTTAGTAAACTGCCCTTTATGCAGTAGTTTAAAATCTAACAAAAAATAAGCAAACGACATGATTATACTTTCATTCGTACGGAAGAGGATTAGGGCCACAGAAAAAAAAGTAAAAAGTTAACTGATTTTTTTATTTTATTTCTGTATAATGTAAGAAAAAAGTCAGAATTTGGACTTAAATCTCAGAATTCTGACTTTAATCTCAGAATTCTGACTGAATTCTGACAGGTTACCATCAAGCCGTAGCCATGTCTGCTTTAGGGACTAAACTAGCTCTCTTGTTTTAATCTCCTTCTTCTCTTCTATTTATGAAATAGCATCACAGAGGACCCATCGGGCACTTAGAAAGTCGCCCAATTCCGTCATTTTCCACCCATGTGTTGCTGGCCCTCCCAAACAACTCAAATCTTTGTCAGTGAAGCTGAGTGCTCCCACATCTCTTCCTTCATGGTGCCCATCTACATTAAAATTCTGAGATTAAAGTCAGAAATCTGAGAAAAAAAGTCAGAAATCTGAGATTAAAGTCAGAAATCTGAGATTAAAGTCAGAATTCTGTGATTAAAGTCAGAATTCTGCGATTAAAGTCAGAAATCTGAGGAAAAAAAGTCAGAAATCTGAGGAAAAAAGTCAGAAATCTGCAGAAAAAAGTCAGAAATCTGAGGAAAAAGTCAAAATTCTGAGATTAAAGTTATAAATCTGAGATTAAAGTCAGAATTCTGCGATTAAAGTCAGAATTCTGAGAAAAAAAAGTCAGAATTCTGAATTCTTTTTTTCCCCCCATGATAAACAGAAATAATATTTAAAAATAAATTAACTTTTTTTTCCCCAGTGGCCCTAATCCTCTACCATACATTCATGTACCAAAGCAGGGTGCATAAAGTATTATTTGATTTTTAATCAAACTCAAAAAGGTGCATTATAGCTGCAACTCTTTAAATGGTTTCTAGACTAAGACAATTGGTATTATGGATTGAATAAACAGAGGACATCAAAGCCGGTTTGAAAATTGTTACATTATACTTTAGATTTAATGCATAGTTGTTGTTTTTTTAAGTTTATTTCAACTGTGGATGGATACAAAGAGTTGTTATCTTGTTTAGAATAATAAGGCTTAAACGGTGCGTGTTTTCACCCACGAGTGAAACTTAATCCTCGAGTAAAGTGTGTCCACAGAAGCCGACACCATCCGAGTTTTATGTTTTTCTATTGGTTGGGTTTGTAATCTGCATTAAATGCGTAAAAACTTACATATCGGTTGATGAGAGTCCGAAGGGTGCTGAAATCCATCCCCATCCTGCTCCTATTCCCTCTGCAGACTCTTCGCCTTGTGATCGTGTGAAGCTTATTTCCTCTCTGTAGTCGCTTTTCTCTTCATGTGTCTTTCTCTGTCCATGTCTTCTTCTCTCAGGCTTGTTTTCTTTTAAGTAGAAATAGGGCTTGGTCCCAAAAATCCCGCTTCCGACACAGTAGACCTGTTCTCACCTTTGGAGACTGGAAGAAGATTGTGAAGTATTGGGATGAAGCTGAAAGGGGAGCGTCTATTAGTGAGCTGTACCCAGAGAAAGTCAGCTGTCCTCCGCTCCCCTCTACCTGAGCGCGTGCACTGATAATCCTCTAGTCTCGCGCAGCGGCCAAAGCAGATTTTCTGTCATGTACGTCACGCGGAGCCAGGTGGTGCCTCTGGCCGGGGTTGGGGCGCATGCGCGCTCTATCGTTTTCGGCGGGTCATTGATTAGTTGTTTCAGTTAATTACAGCCTATCGATTTGTTGGGATGTCCACCTACAGGTGCATCTCTATAAATCAGAATATAAGAGAAAAAGTCATTTATATAGGTGAATTACACAAAGTATATTTTATATAGAAATTAAATATTTCAAATTAAATATAACAATTGAATTTATATTTTTTTAAGCAAATACCTCCTAATATACTGCTTAAACTACTGGCAAAATAATTTTTACTCCTATTTTTATAACGTTGTAAAGACTGAAGACAGTATTTGAAAATAAAAGCCCTTCAGGGAATCCCTGGATTACTTTAATTTAAATATCAATGAAGAGCTATTATTTTTGGCTGTGTGGGCACATTAAATGTCCTACTGGTAATAAAATCACCATCCTCATAATGCTTGTATGGCCATAGAAATCAAGGCATTAAGTGATCTATTATTATCTAGGCTGCCCTGACTTTTATGGCTGCGAAAAAACTAGTAAGAGCGACAGCACACAAATCTTCCTGCATTTTATACAAACTATAAAATGATTGCTTGTTCTACACTTTTCATGGTCTCTTGATTTTAAATGGTATTGAGTAATAGCCTAATTTTATGACAAACCAAATATCTGAGATTTCATTGGCTGTAAACATGAATTATCAGCATACAAATAGATGCTTAGAACAGATTGCTCAGTTTTTAATAGATGTACAATATGCAAATGTAGCTGTCTTCATCTAGATAGATTATATAAACTGAGTCTCAAATAAAATTATAAATCTATTTGCCATAAAAATCAAGGTAAGATTAACTCAATGTGTACTTTGTGTTTTTTATTCGTTTATTTACTGAATGATATCTTATGAAAATTTTGCTTATCATTAATGACCAAAAACCAGATTTTAGAGGATAATCATTTTCCTTCCTGACCCTGTTAACTGGAAACTTCCCCGTAGCATGATACTGCCCCTGCTATGCTTAACAATGAGGATGGGGAGTTCAAGGTGATGTGCACTGTTAAACTATTAAATAACACTAATTAAACTATTATATAAACAATTTTGCTAATGATGTGAAATTTAGTGTAGTACAAAAACAAGGACAATTATTTCACTGCACAGCTGGGTTGATAATTTGGTTTCTGATTATTTCACATAAAAGCTGCATCTTCTCTCCATAGGTCCCATCTTTAATACTACTAAAAATCGGATCATTAAGTGCATTTATCAGGGAAATATGTTGCCCTACTCCTGAAACATTCTGTACAATTAAAAAACATTCATTTTTTGGCAAATGTGGGTTTGTTTATTGTTGTTGTTGTTGTTGTTTTGTTTGTTTGTTTTGTTTTGTTGTTTCCTCTGTTTAATGGGACAATTTACCAAAATAAAGTGACTGATTGATTGATTTATTTTCCATGTTTGGTTAAAAGAAAAAACAAATGAAATAAAACATGATTTAAAGAAACAATACCCTTTTTTATGAAATATTAGACCATATATGCTTTATATCAATAATGGCTGTACTAATGCATTTGTCATACATATTATATAACCTTCAAACTCAATCCATAGCCATTCAACTTTCTTTAATTTGGAGTTTAATAATTAACTAAGCTCTTGATGCTAACAACACAAAATTGAAGCAATCATGCACAAATATTTTACAAGGAATGTGAAATGCTACTAATTAAGATTAGTTTAAAATATTCTCATACACTTTTGAATAAGTATTACTTTTGCTAATTCGAAACCCATTAAACTAATGTTGCTTTAATTTTTTATAATAATTTATTATATTAGTGGTTTGATATTTTACATGCAATATTCTGTTACTAGCTAGAAATTGTAAACAAATTTTTGTGGCTCAAGATCATAGTGGAACTAAAGACAAATCTACCTTGTTTCAAGGGGGAAGTATTTTCGTTAAAAAGTCCGTCCTCTGTTCCTTCGATACGCTTTCGGCGGGTTCAGATGAATCACTTGTAAAGTTTAGTAATAAAGCACCAACTACTTCTTGTTATTCCCTTCAAAATAAAACCTACCAAGGTCATTGAACTAAACAGACAATAAAATCAATGAAACATAAACCTTCCCTCATAACAATATCAGGGACGGTTTGTGCAGATCTTATTCCAACCATTTCTGACATGTTTGGAAAAAAAAAGGTTCTATAAATGATATAAGACACAAGACATTTTGCTAAGTTTTAATTTTATTTGTTTGAGGAAAACTGTTTAAAGATCGTTTTAAGTTAGAATTTTGAGTGCAATTTTTAGTGTATCATTAATTGATTCAATATGTCTTGCAGTAGAGCCAGTTTATTTAAATGTTGAGCATTTGTTTGGAATCAATTCCAATAATTTATTCTGTCATTTTATAAAAAATAAAATCTTGAAGCATTTTATGCAGTGTTAATTCTGTTTTCTTGTAATTTTATTGGACAGAATTTTTCAATTATGCCTGTTAATGTTGGGCCCTATGTACGCAAGAGGATTAGGGCCACTGAAAAAATAATCAAAGTTAACTGATTTTTTAATTTTATTTCAGTTTAATATGGGAAAAATGGAGAATTCTGACTTTTTTCTCAGAATTCTGACTTTAGTCTCAGAATTCTGACTGAATTTTGACAGCTAACAAACATGTTAGCATCAAGCCGTAGCCATGTCTGTTTTAGAGACTGACAGCTAACAAACATGTTAGCATCAAGCCGTAGCCATGTCTGTTTTAGAGACCTAACTAGCTATCATGTTTTAATCACCCATTGCTCTTCTATTAATGAAATAGCATCACCGAGGACCCCTCGGGCACGTAAAAAGTCACCTAATTCCGTCATTTTTCACCAATGTGTTCGGATCAAAAGTCAGAATTCTGAGATTACAGTCAGAATTCTGAGAAAAAAGTTAGAATTCTGAGAAAAAAAATCAGAATTTATTTATTTATTTTTTTCCAGTGGCCCTAATCCTCTTTCGTAGCTATAGTACTATGATCTGACGTCTGCAGTGGTTTAAAAATTCTGAGATTAAAATCAGAATTCTGAGATTAAAGTCAGAATTCTGAGAAAAAAGTTAGAATTCTGAGATTGAAATCAGAATTCTGTTTTTTCTTTGTTTTTTCAGTGGCCCTAATCCTCTTCCGTACCTATGGTACTATGATCTGACGTCTGTGCTCTTATTTTGAAAGGATCCGGTCTCATTCTTTCTGCGCCATGCTAGCATGACCCTCTTAGTCAAAATGGCGTTGCTAGAATTGGGAGGCTGCAGTTAGTTCACATCCATCTAACGTTTATATTATTTAGGGAGCAATAAACACGATATCCACGGACACTATGGCGAGTCTGGACCAGAAATCTCCCAATGTTCTGTTGCAGAGCCTGTGCTGCAGGATCACAGGGAAAAGCGAAGGTACGTCAGTTACCGCTAGCTTGACCGCCTTCTTATCATACCGGAGCTTTTAGAAGGAAACTCCCATTGTAAAAATTGTAATTTTGTTTTAACAAACAATATATTTATCTGTATGTATCATAATCACACAACAAATACATCAAACAATTCGTCAATATAAACCGGAAGTTTCGGCATGATTTTCTTTGCCCGACCTGTCACTGACCATGAATAATTTAAGGTTTTCGACGCTGAACTCTTTCCGCTGTAGCGGCATAAAACCGTTTAAGCTCCCGGAGATCAGCCAAGAGGAACTCTTGTAATACTTAGCTATTCTTAAATAAAAACGTTAATTTAATAATTATGTTTTTAATATATAATATTTTGGTTAGTAGGGACACGTAGAGGTCTCGTTCCCAATCCCGCATCCCAGATGTTGGTGTAATTTAATGCCCTGAATGCTGATGGGATGGTTTGAAGGTTAATCCATTAACCAGTACAATTATTAATAATTTAGAGCGATCAGGCAGATTAAAGGAAAACGTGCACCCAGTCTGGATGTATTTGCATGCTGCTATCTGCAGGCCCCTGCAGGGAGGCAGATATCCCACATCAGATGTCATCATGGCATAGAACCCATAGAAATATTTACATTTAATAAAGTTGCAACTGAAATCTTTCATCAGTTTTATTTGAGTAGTGCATATTTGTGAAGTGGTGGAACATTTATAAGTGGTTTAGAGAAGATCGGTATTTAAATCCTGAGTTTTGGAGCCATTGCAAAGCATGCAAAAGCTGTAATGTTAGGATTTCCCTCTTAGCTCAGGCTGTGTACTTCCAACTGATTGTCATGCAGTTGGAAGGTGAAACTTTGCTCTTTTCTAAAGTTGTTTGCACCCTTCTTTTCGTCTACTCTGATGACCCTCCCTGACCCTGGTGAATAAATGCATCCCCACATCATGATGCTGCCAACACCTTGTTTCACTGTAAGGAAGGTGTGGTCTGGTTTGCGTCCACAGTGATTTTTGTATTAAACAAGAAACTTACATTTTGATTTTTTCTGAGTTGAATACATTCTTCCCAATGTCTCATGTGTCTCTACATAACTTTGAGCGGTTTTCTTTGCCCAACTATTATTCAGGATTGAATAATACATAAAGGTCGGACTCGGACATTGGGTTTCTGCAGCTCCTCCATAGTTTGCTTGAGCCTCTTTGTGACGTTTGTTTGAATTTAACGAATGAGGGAAAAAAATATTCCTGCCCAAACATTTACTCTGTTCTTAATTTGTTGTTTTTGTTTTCATATTTTTTATGTTTTAATAATGATTTGATTGAATTAAGCTCAGCTCTGGATCAAATCCACTCTGTTCTGATTACTCTAAATCCTTAAAAATATTAAATAATTAAACAAATCTATATGAAAACATAACTTAGGCTGAAAGGTCTTTGTTTTTAGAATTAATAATGTCCTATAGAGGATTGACAAGACAAATACTGAACTTTTTAGAGGATGT